GGGGGGGGGGGGGGGGGGGGGGGGGGGGGGGGGGGGGGGGGGGGGCAGCAGGGGTACCAGACGGAGGACAGAGGGAAGGGGGGATCACTTGATGCGTGCTCTCTCGATCACATACAGAGGGGTAGGTACGGGCCTAACGCTGCATCTCGTTGCAATTGGTCAAAAAGCCACAGAGTTTGCTGGGTGCCATGTTTTCCGGAACTTTCCGGAACAAATCGCATTTCGCTGTGAGACGAAGCAGACTGCACAATCGGCACGTGAACGACTTCCGTTTCGCAGAATTGGCGCCAACAAAGAAGGGCGCTGCCGTTCAGCCCTTGGGGTGAGGAGCGCCACAGCAAACGATCGCACAGCAGCGCCAGTGTGTCCCGTAGAGAAGGTTGTAAGCTACTTCCCACCTCGTCAGTACGTACGGGAGTACGTGGACCCCGCGCCCATTGGCACTTAGGCACAAGGCCAGTGGTGGTCGCGAGATATCTACCGTACCGTACCGCGGTGTAGTGACAAGCAAAAATAACCGCGGTACAAAGAATTTACACAGTCGACGGCGTGGTGAGCCGTGGGGGTACACAGAGGAAGCGACTTGTGGATACAGATTTTAAGTACAGAAACAAACGTAGCCGTTCAGTTGTCAAACCGGGGACCTAACACGCAGAGCCGGATTTAATTGATGGATACACTTTCAAGTCGATAAGCAATTTCCAACATCGGGCAGACAATAAGTATCGGGACACCGCACTATTACTTTAGTGCTGAGAAATATATAGCTTTCAGTGTAGAAGCAAAATCCAGTGACAAGCGATGTCTACCGCTGTGTTTTGGGACCCGCTCCGCGCCGCTCCGCGGTACGGAATACCGGGACAACCACCATCACTGTGTAGTCGTTCTTCCGCTTTGCCGACCACTCCGTGGGAGGGGAGGCCTGACCTCGTGAGGTGTACTCTCGCAAATAAGGGCTTGCGCCACCGAGACTGCTGTAGGAAACGATTGACTCACCTTGCTCGTGTCCACGATCGCCCGGATGGTAATGTTGAACGCCTCCTCGTGTTTCTCGTCTGGCCGCGACACATGAAACACGAACCACTTCTGGCCATTGGCGCCAGGTAACCCCAACACCTACGTAGTTCAGGCCATTGGGTGATGCGCGCCCAATCGGATGATGAGCACCAACCGCACAGGCACGAGAGGCAAGAACGTTTGTTCTAGTGTGTGAAACTTCTTAACCCTTCGTGACTGGCTTAATTTGATATTTTTTGTTTTTTTCCCCGCAACTGGCTCTCTGCGGTCAAAGATCTTCCAAGCATGAGGTATGTACACCCATGAATCACGGCGGCAAGGATGGTGCGGCAGTGAGTTGTGTGTGGGACTCATAGGGGTGGGGACGCGGTAAATGGAAGGGTGACGAACACGAGTACAGTAGTACTGCCGCTGTACAGCAGTAGCAGCTACGCGGAGAGAAATGTAATGTACAGCAGCAGTAGTTTCTCAGCAGGTGTGCATGCCTGTCTCCGACAGCAACCGTCCGCACAGAGGATGTACCTGTGCAAGCAATACCTGTCGGCACATCTTCTCCACCTCATCCTTGGACAGAGCATACGGCAAGCGCATATGCTAGCGGCGCTAGATGCGAAGGCGCTGACGGGAAACCGCCTCACAGAAGCGCCAGGTCGACGAAACAATGGCCCGCTCATCAGAGAATCGAGACCATCATCCACTATCGCACAAAATGCATGAAAATGATGATACATTTTACTATTCTGTACTACAAATAGAGAGCTGTGGTCGGAGCTGTGATCGGAGCTGTAGTCCCGAAAACCCTTGCCTTTGAGCGACATTTTGCACACAGCAGACGAACCACCCTTCACTTCCAATACTGGGAACCACACGCACCGCAATCACAACAACATCAAGCACCGAGGCAGTACGGTAGCATCGGCTCCGGTGTGCGCTTTCTCTGCTCTCCCCCACGCATGCGGCACCGGCTTGACTACATGTTCGGGTGCTGCATGTACCCTCCGGTGGTATGTTGCGTTTGAATCTTACCTTACCGGTAGGCAGTAGATTGCATCTGGAAAGGATATCTGCCCCACGTCAGAGGGATTAGGCATGGGTGACTAGTATTGTACTATTTGTATGTGAGTCCTGTAAGCATTGCTGATAAGCGTGCTTCGGGGGTGGGCTGCCTGTGTCTCCCTGCTGGTCCCTACGTATGTTTTTTGCTCTTAGCCGAGGCACAACGGCGATCTTTCGACACGCAAAGTGATCGGAGCTGAGAACGGAGCTGAATCGGCCTGTAGTCACGTAAGGGTTGGAAGTACTCTGAACCCGGAGACCACAGTCCCTGTGGTCCGACCTTCACCACATGCGCCCTGTCGGGTGCGCCCGCTTACTGTACTAGAAACAAACACGTGATCGCACGTGCCGTCCCGCCGTTAAGACTTGACGCCTTTTCAACCGGTTGGCGCGGCCCATGCTAACCAAAGAAGATCAACAGGGAAGGCTGGTCGCAGTTCTTATCCAGTTGAAAGCCTGACTGACGTGTTTTCGATAGTCAGCCGGTTATCGCGTCCAACATAAAACAGCACAAGCCTACCAAACAAATACGCACGCCACAATCTTCGTTGTCCTTGTCTGTCTGCCCCTCGCCCCCCTTCGTCGCTTACCTCCCGCGCCACCCGCGCGCCCGCCCGCTGCCCGTCCCCGGCGTCCTCGACCTTCATCATGTCGGTCACGGACAACTCGATGTACACGCCGCTCCCGGGGGGGAAGGCCTCGTACCCCGCGCACAAGAGGTAGTGGTCCTGGTTGCTTTCCCAATGCTGCGCAGCAGGTAGGCGGTGACGTGAAGTTGAGAGTTACAGTCGCAGAAGCACCTCGATCTGCGACGTTCAGGAGAAGCGTCAGGTTTCCTTTTCCCCAAGCGTTTACCCGAATGGCCGACTCAGACAATCCAACGATATAGTCTACGCCTACAAAGATTCGTTCGAAAAGGGAGTTGATTTCGGCATGTGCTATGACGTGGCAACTGCCACGCGTTGATGTCAACTACCAGTAGCTAAGGTGGCCAAAAATTAAAGCCCACGGTCTCGGTGGTGTGTGATCTTTTTCATTTCTGCCCGACCAAGCGTGAGGGAGAAGAAAAAATTGGGTGTGCCTTTAACCCCAGACACCACTTTCACGTTGTAGCGCTTGTGCAGTATTCCAAAAAATAACGCACGTCTAGCAGAGGTGGAGCCGAGATAGAGTACCAAGCACCACTTTTTGGGCCACCTCCCAGCAGCTAGGAGGACTTGAGTTTTTACGCTCATGGTCTGAATGTTCTGGTGAACTGTGTAGTTTGTTGTGGGCGAGGCAACAAATGAAGCTCCTCTTTTCGGTTGACCTTATCTCATCCCCGCCCTCGATTCCACCAATAGTTTAATATTCGACCACCACATGGACACGGCGGCAGCAGTTACTTGTTGTGGAACGAAGCTAGGGAACGATTCTATTCCCTGTCCAGTGGTCGCTAACACGCACGTCATCTCTGTGCTGTCTGCTATGTTTCCGCAAATCCGCTGAGGCAGTTGAACCGGAACCTCTCCACCTCAGATGTTAACAAGTTGGTCAAAAGGGGTTATCTGAGGCTTAGGCTTGGGCGATCTGGGGTGCTGCCTCAGACAAAAAAACACTACTCCCCACATACGTACATACCCCGCAAATCTGAACCCCACCAAATGAGAACTGCGCAGAAAGACTGGCCCAAAAACAACACTGCTGCACCTCCGAAAGCCTCTACACTACCACCGCAGGTACAGCCGTAAGTCGAGTTGATGTGATCTTACAAACAACTACATCAACAACGACCCAAAAGATGAAATCGGAATCGTTTACTGCCGAGAGACGTAACATCCGCGAAACATAATCGCAAAAAAAATAAAATAGTTTCGTGTGATTGTTCGTCAGAAGAAACCTTTTCCCCCTGTACTTTTTTGGATGTGGAGACAACAAACCAACAAAAGAGCAACACCAGCTTGTGTGTCCCGCAAAGCATACGAAAAACAAGTGAAACGTCATATCAACACCCAGCTTGTGTGTCCCCCAAAGCATACAAACAACACGTCAAAACGCGATCCTCTCTCGCCTGGTCGTGGGTGGCCATTCTCTCCAGCGTCTTCCACGGCCGATACGGGGTCGGTGACCACCGCATCCCGACGCGGTTCTGGGCGTCCTGCAGGAGGCGCTCTCCCTTATGGGTCCGGGGGTAGAGCTGGATCTGTTGCGGATCGCTGGGGACCCCGTCGGGGGTGCCCGTGGCTGAAATACCCCGATATCGCTGGAGATAGCCCGAGGGGGGGTGTTGAGAGCATGTCGGGGGGGGGCTG